GCTCTGTGCTGCATCGGGCTGTCTGTGTGAGTGAGGGATGATGGTCTCCTTGAGAATAATAGAATATGTGGCAGTCTCCCTGGTTTTTCCCTGCGTGCTGTGTCTGATAACCCTTGCAGGCTCTTCACACTGCATTTGAGCACTCTTGACTCCCTTTAGAACAGCTGTTCCCTTCTGCTGGGAAGAGCTTTTTCCCCTCCAGCCAGTACATTCAGGCAAAGATTATTCTGGGGCTGATTTTGCCAATTGCTGTATGCTTCAAGATGGGGAAATAAAAGCATTTTCTCCTACCTGCCTTGGGGTACCAGGCAGGGTTTATGTCCCCTGCCAAGGCTTTGACGTTGCCAGGAATATGAAAATGGCTGACGTTTGGGAGGACGAGCATTGCAGAGTGCTGCTGGCTGGTTTAATGCAATTCCTAATCCCTTAGGTCTCTGTGGGTGCTGTTGGGGTTGGAGCTGGGCTGGGTGCAAGCACAGAGTTGCAGTCATATAATGATTTTGTTCTCCTCCAGGCCCTGAATGAATCTCTGAAACTCTTCAAGACTAATTCCCCCCAGACTGCTGCTATGCTCTTTGCTGTGGATAATGAAGCTGGCAGGATCACCTGCCTGTGTCAAGTACCCCAGGTAATGCCACGACTGTGTGCCTGCCTCTCTCTGAGCCTCTGTGGAGGAACTACAGCCTCCAGGCAGGAACGTTACACTGCCAGAATTGATTGGGATTTGGCAAGACCCAGAGCCTTTGTGCTTGGAGTTATTGTCAGGCTGCTGAAGTGAGGGAAGAGGGGTTATGCTCTGCAAACAGGGAAGGGGAAGAGTCAGGACTTAATGGAGTGGTAGGCATGGGGCAGGGTGATTGCTGTTCAGTGCTGACTGCTGGGTTTCTTTTCCTGCCCAGGAGACTGCAAATAAGGGCCTGAAGGCCAGCCAGTGGGTGCAGGAAGTGTCTGGCTTGATGGACGGCAAAGGCGGTGGAAAGGACATCTCTGCACAGGCAACAGGCAAGAATGTGGGCTGCCTGCAGGAAGCCCTGAAACTGGCCACGGACTTTGCCAGGCTCCGCCTGGGGGAGCTGAAGAACTGACTGCGGGGAGAAGCCCGGTCCCTTTGTCTGCCTCCCTGCCCCCTGCGCGGCTTTGCTGTAATAAAGGCTCCCTGCCCCGCGCTCTGCTCCGCGGCTCTGCAGGCGGGGCGGGCTGGGCTGGGCTGGGGTGGGATCCCGCTGCCAGTCACGGCTTGTGCCCGCCTCCCGCCCGGGCCCGCCCGCCGCCGTCTCCCGGCGTGCCGCCGAACATGCCGCTGGATCACCGCCGCCTGCGCGGCCCGGAGGAGTCGCAGCCGCCGGCGCTGTGGGCAGCGGCCGCGGCCGAGGATGAGGAGGACGGGGAGGGCGCGGGGGCGGCGCCGCGGGACCCCTGTGCGCTCCGGCCGCTGTTCGCGCGGGCCGGGCTGCTGAGCCAGGCGCAGGGCTCGGCCTACGTGGAGCTGGCCAGCGGCACCAAGGTGCTCTGCGCCGCCTGGGGCCCGCGGGAGGCGGCCGAGCCCGGCCCGGGCCGGCTGCTCTGCGAGTTCCGCCGGGCGCCGTTCGCGGGGCGCGGGGCGCGGAGCCGGCCGGGCGCGGCGGCGGAGCGGGAGGCGGAGCGGGAGGCGGCGGCGGCGCTGCGTGAGGCGCTGGAGCCGGCGGTGCGGCTGGGCCGCTACCCGCGGGCCCGCCTGGCCGTCAGCGCGCTGCTGCTGCAGGACGGCGGCTCGGCGCTGGCCGCCGCCGTCAGCGCCGCCGCGCTGGCGCTGGCGGACGCGGGCGTGGAGATGTACGACCTGGCCGTGGGCTGCGCGCTGTGCCGGCCGGCCGCGCCCGCCGCCGCCTGGATGCTGCAGCCCGCCGAGCCCGAGGAGCGCCGCGCCGCCGCCCGCCTCACGCTGGCCCTGCTGCCCGCCCTCAACCAGGTGTCGGCCGTGCTGGGCGGCGGCCGCGGCGGCCCGCCCGAGGACTGGGCGCAGGCCCTGCGGCTCGGGCTCGATGGCTGCCACCGGCAGTACCCGGTGCTGCGGCAGAGCCTGCTGCGGGCCGCCCAGCGCCGCGATGCCGCCGCCGCCGCCGCCGCCACCAGTGCCTGAGTCCCCTGAGACCTGCGTCCCCCGGTCTGGCGATTGGCATCTCCTAGAGCCCGCCCAAGCTGCTTTCGGTGCTGCCGGAGACCCCTGGAGCCTGCCTGATCCACACACCACCGTTCGGGACTAAAATAAGGTACTTTTAGAATCTTAAAAGTTTATTAAATTTAGCTGTTGGTGAACCCCCATACCGAGCCTGATCCATGCCTCATGCTGCTGGAGACTGGATGAGCCAACCTTTGCACTGCTGGAGACCCTCGTGTTGCCCACACAGCTGGAGGCCCAAGGACATGAGAATCTGCACCCCCCACACGCTGCCCGAGCACCCCAGAGTGCACCTGAGAAGCCCTCGTGTTACAGGAGACCATTCTCAACTGGCACCACAGGACCCAAACAGCCTTGCCTGCTGCTGAAGCTCCCCAAGAATAACCTCCATACTGCCTCAGCATCCAGAGCCTGTCCAAGGCCTCCCTCCAAGCAATTGCTGGCACTCAGGACCCCACATCTCCACCTGGGCTGGTCACTCACTCCAGGCTCCCCACCATATCCATCTGTGCAGGCAGCACCAGACAGGAACCATGTCATGGCATGGACTGCACAACCCTTGGATTTCTTGCCCAGGCACTGCTTCAGGGTGTCAGAGTTGTGTTTTGTTCATTTTTTCGTAATAATAAATTGTATTTTTTCTGATGAGTCTTCTGCCCGCATGGCCCTCCTGGGGCCTCTGCCAGCCATGAGCAGAGATGGAAAGATGCACTTATACAATTGGGCTCAACCCCTCTGCTCCCACTGTCCTTGAGGAGTTCAGGGAGAGCTGGGTGCTTCCTTGGAATCTGATTATTCCTGGGGATGGAGTGGAGCAGGTGGTTTTGTCTGCCAAGCTGCGCCATGGTGGGCTGGTAGGGAATATTCTGGGTATTTTCCATTGGGATACAGGGGAGAGCTGCGCTCGTACCTCTGGCTTGAGCTGTAGGAAAGGCAGCATCCAAGAAACCCCTCAGAGCTGGAGGTTGTGTCTGGCAGCACATAAAATGGGGTACAAAACTGTGCGCTTCAGATGCTTAAAAACTGCATTGGAGTCAAATAACCAGAGAAAAGAAATACAATTTTTTTTTTCCAATGCAATACACTCTTTTACCAGAGCAAATTAGAAATACAGAACACGATTCTGCCAGTGAGAGAAGGACAACTGAGAAATGAGGGACAGGGAACTGAATCAGGACACTGGGGAGCACAGGGGTGACCAGGACTCTTTGGCTGCAGGCCAGGGGCCCTTGTAAAGCTCTTACTGGAGTCCTGCTGGCTGCAGGTGCAATGCCTGGCTGAGAACTGCCTGTGGAAAACCAGTAAGGAAAACACATTTAGGAGCTGGGGCAAATGGGTAGGATGGGAGCAGCACAAGGCTGTTCCAGAAATGTAACAGCTCCAGCTATCCTTTTCCTTAGGTGCCCCATCCCAAGGACCCAAAGCTGGGCAGGCTCCAATTAGGGTGGCAGAAAGCACCTCTGACGATGAGGGTAATTAACCTGCAGAGACATTTCCCACCACTGTTGCTATCATTCCTGCTGGGTGGTTGAGTTATTTTTCAGGGATACCCATGCCAGCAGGATGCCTGTGAGTGCAGCTGGGTGCCAGGGATGGGGGAAGCCCTATGTCCAGCTGCTTCTTCCTCCTGTAGGCTGCTGAGACGTGATGATATGTGGGGTGGAGATGCCTCTGGGTGCACAGCTCAGTGATGCCACATCACACCTCCCTGGCAGTGCTCTTCATCCCTTCTTTAGGATTTCACAGCCAACATACATATAAAAGCCAGCTTGAATTTATTTTTTTGCATATATATGTGAGACGCACTGATGCTGTGGCTTGTGATTATCTCCACGTATTTAATTTTGTATTTTTGGGACACTCCAAAACCTCTGTGGCTACTGGGGTGAGGAGACAGTTGAAGGCTCCCTCTTGCACACTCACCATTGGCCACAGTAAGTGTGACCAGCTGTTCCATGGGTGACATTGTGGATGTTATTGCACCAGGGAAACTTCTCAAGTCATCAGGGGACATACCAGCCCACCAGAGCAGTCTAGACCTCCCAGGAGCCTGGCCACTGGCCACAGGCCCCTCAAGCCCCACAGGTGTCGGAGCAAGGTCCTGCTATCCATACGGAGAACAGGGTTTCTGAGCAAGATCCAAGCAGAAAGAAACTGGCACTTGTTTGCTTTCCAGGCTGCCACCTTGTGTGGTGAACTCTGCAGGCTGGCTCTGATCTCAGGGTGAGCTGGGGAAGGCACTCAGTGTGCACCAGGAACTGCTGGCACCCATCTTCTGTGGGGGCAGAGCATCCCTCGGGATCTCCAGCTTCACCCTCATTCTCCCTGGGCTCCTTCCACCTCCATCCTCCCCACCCCCACCTGCTGGGCCCTGCCCTCCTGGCCGCTGGTTTCCCCCTGGGTTTGCCCAGCCCAGCGATGTGGATGTGCCTTCCCTCGGTTGAGACAGTGCCCATGAAACGCCCTGGATGAAGATATTTTCATTCCCACCCCAGCCCAGCACTGGATGGGGCAGTTATGACAGGAGAGGGGCAGTGGCACGTCACCTCCAAAAGCGCCCATTGCCACCCACCAGTGCTGGGGGCACGGGCTTGCATCCAGCACATGGGGTGCTGTGACTTGGGGCCATCCTGGGGCTGAGAGAAGCAGCTCTTGGCTAACACCATCTCTCCAAGGCAACCCCACATGCTGAAGACAAGTTCAGCCAAGGCTGGCCTTGGCTCCAACAACCCCAGAACCCACTCCAGAGATAAAACTGGAGGTTCCATACAGTGCAGGCAGGATGTGAACTGTGGCTAAGGAGAGTCTGGCTGTCTTAGGGGAGGAAAAAGACAAATTGCTCTTCCCAAAGGAGAGAGGGTATTTATTAATGACCAGACAGATGATGAAGGACCAGATGATGGTGAGAAACCCACCAGACTGGGGCATTCTCACCCAGGTCAGGACAATGGCTCAGAGCTGAGCCCGGTCCTCCCTGAGCTGTGCACCCCCAAAGAGCCCCCTTGGCCCCTCGTAACACTGAGACCACAGTCCAGACACAGCCCAGCTGCCAGTTTTGGAGGAGATGCTTTTGTACCTGGGTGTTGCAGGGGACATCTGCCCAGGGTGTTGCAGAGTGATTGTGACAGAGGAAGGTGAGGGGCAGAAGAAGATGCTGTGTCAGGGATGCTAATGTACAGCACACCCCTTCTTGCTAGGTCCCAGTGCCATGGGTCCCCTCAGCCCCTCATTCCCTGCACAAGTGAGAGTGCAGAGATCCTCCTGAGCCATGGTCCGGGCTTTGCAGAGCACCAGGGTCCTCCTGAGCCCGGGTTCAGCACAGCAGCCAGCGCTGGCCGGTTCCAGGGCTGCCAGCTTAGGGATCCCGCTGCCACAGGGCAATGTGTTCCTGGGCTGCAATGGCGTGTGTAGTCAGTGCCCTCCAGCCCAGGAGAGACACAGAGGTCTGGGCAGGGCTGGCAACAAGGGACAGAACAGCAGAGCAGGGGACTGGCACCTCCAGGGCCCAGCACGCCCAGGAAGGCACAGGAGGGCTCCCAGGCGCTCACTCACCGAACTGGCAGATGTACCGGTTTCGGGTCTTGCAGCGCTGGTCGTTCCAGTTGAAGGCGGCTGATGCTTGCATCTCCACACAGTTCCCAAACCTGTGTCCCACCAGGATGGTGGTGAAGCCAGTCAGCAGTGACACCATGCAGAGTTTGGTGTCCTCTAGATCCACTTACCCCTGGTTGTCCGGCTGTCCAAAAGCAAAGCTGGTGAAGGAGGATGGCTCACCCACATCCCAGCGGAAGGAAGCCTTGGATGTTTTGTAGGTGAGACCTGGGGGACCAGGACCTGGGTTAGCATGTCTGCCAGCACCCCAGGCACTCTGCACCCTGCCTACTGCTGTCTCTCACCGATCCAGAAGTTTCCAGTCTCAAAATCGGTGTCTGTCACCCTGTTACCCATCTCCAAGCGGCTGAGGTAGAAAGCCAGGATGTCCTGAACCTTCTGGTTTCTTATCTGGGCCAGCATCGCTCCTTTCTCCTGTGGGGAAGGGAGTGAGTCTGCCCCACCTGTGTGGCCCAGCACTGCTCCAAGCAGAGGAGAGGTGCCCAGAGGCACTGAAAGCATGGGTGGCACTTTTCAGCTGTCCAGAGATGTTCAGAGCACCCCAGGAGTTCACCTGGCATTTAATTTTGGCTCCATAGTAGGTGTCGGCTTCAGGGGACACCATGAAGCAGTCGCTGTCAATCCGCACGTCACAGGCATGGAAGGGGAAATGGATCTTTGCTGGGGACACAGGCAGGAGCACTTGGGTCCTTGTGCCAGCAGAGATGGGCCCACAGAGGACCCTTCACCCAACTTGGGGGTCCCCTGCCCGTGGATCACAGCAGTGCAGGGCACAGACTCACTGCCACACTCAGCTCCTCCGTAGCCCGCGTCGCAGAGGCAGGAGCACTCCTCCTTCCTGAACCTTCCGTGGAGGCACTGCCCGCTGCACCTCACTGTGGGCACAGCACTGCATTAGCTGCCAGGGGGCTCAGGAGCCCCTACCCCCTGTGCTGGCTGTGCCACACTGCACCAGCTGCACCCATGCATGCCCTGCAGCAGCCATGCACCTGCATGCCCTGCAGCAGCCATGCACCAGCCTCTGAAGGCTGCACGGGGCCGTCTCACCTTGGCAGTACCTGCCCGTGTAGCCGGGGGGACAGGTGCACTGGCAGCTGCTCATGTCGAGGCGCCCACTGTTCCTGCAGCTCATGCGACAGGGGTTCCTGGGCACCTCTGGGCACGCCAGAGTGACAGCAGGGCATCAGGGGCGGAGGCAGCACCACCAGGGTCATGCAGAGGCCATGGTGACAGGGGGCACTCACCACAGAGCCCACCGCTGTGGTCCCAGGACTTGAAGCAGCCAGAGAGGCCAGCAGTGCAGAGGGAGCACCAGGGTCCCTGCTTGTAGGGCAGGATGGGCGTCCCGGCCACCTCCCAGTTGCCCCTGGCCCCACAGGCAGCTGGAGGAAGATGCCCCACCCACCCGGGCAAGCCACACCCCTTTCTGGTGCAGGCCACACCCCTTTCTGGGGCAGGCCACACCCCTTTCTGGGGCAAGCCCAGCCCCACCCACATCCATGTCTAAATCACTGCCATGCCTTCGTCCCCCACTCGGTCCTGTCCACAGCACTCAGCCCCACCCACACCCCCTGCCCAGAACATCCAAACCCTCCCGCGTCTAAAACACGGCCCTATTTGCATATAAAAGCCACACCCACATCACCCAGCTCCGCCCACTTCAATGCACAGTCCCACCCACCACCGGGACAAGCTCCCCCTCCCGTGCCGCGCATCCCATAGCTCAACCCAGACCTGGTTGAGATCCCACCCACACTGCTGAGCCCCTCCCATTCACACAAGCCTCGCCCCTCTCAGCCACACCCACCACACCCCTCTCTGCCCCACCCACCACGCCCTTCTCAGCCACACCCACAACACCCCTCCCTGCCCCACCCACCACGCCCTTCTCTGCCCCACCCACCACGCCCCTCCCTGCCCCACCCACCACGCCCTGGCCCCGCCGCAGCCCCTTACCCTGGCGAGTAGGCGCAGGCGAAGGCCTCGCTGGGGCCGTGGGGACCGGGGCAGCGGTGCCGGCCGCAGCCCAGCTGCCCTGCTGTGGCCCACACCAGCTGTGGGAGAGCGTTTGTCACCGGGGTCCCGCTCCCTAGCAGTCCCCCCGTGCCCCTCATGCCCACCTGGGTGTAGTGGCGGCAGGTGGCATTGCTGGCGCAGCGCCCCGTCCTGTAGTCATAGCGCTGTCCCTCAGCAAACCAGAGCTCCAGCACGGCCCCGAAGCCGCCCGCGCCCGCGGGCAGCAGGACCTCGCTCCAGCCCAGCTGTGGGGCTGGCGGGGGAGCGGGGCCCTCCAGGCAGCTGGCTGCCCGTGCCCCCGCCTGCCGCCCCAGCTCCTCGCTCCACTCCTGCGGGGATGAGTGTGAGCCACCCAGGGAACAGCCCCAGGGGGTGCGGGGACCACCAAGATGGTCAGTCCAGGAGGTGACTGGGGGACATCAGAGGTTCGACAATGGGTGATGCTGCAAGGGACCCCTAGGGACCCGTCCTGCCCCTGGTGTGGGCGGCTGGGAGGTGATGGAGGGACACTGAGGGCCACCACAGGACATCAGAGACACCCCTAGGTAGCAATTGTACCTTTGATGTGTTCAGGTGTGAGGTGGTCAGGGAATATCAAGGGTCATAACAGGGAATGGAGGACCCCACAAAGGGCTCCAAAGAACTACCCCTTCTGTGTCCTCGGATGATTAGGAGGCATCAGAGGGACATGGGGGACACCAAAAGGCACCTCAAAGCATCAGCCCTGTTTTTGGTGTGCCCTGGATGTGGCAGTGACATGCTTTTCCCCAGACGCCCCACACCAGCCAGCTCTTCTGCTTCATTAGCATGTAAGCAAACTACTGTGTATCACCCATGGGCTGTCCACATCCCCGGGCATGGGGCAGAAGGTGGATGTGACATTGAAGGTGGGGGGCACGGGACCTGCAAGGGGGCTCACCAGCTTCTGCATGTTGGCAGCAGGGGGCTGCACTTTGCTCCTCAACTTGTTGTGCAGTGAGAGCACCAGGAAGGTCTCCTTCGTGCTGAGAGCTGGGGGGGACAGCAGGGGATAGGGAGGGGGCCAGGGGGCCGAGAGCTACAAGTGCCCTCCCCGAATCCCCGGCTGTGGCCAGACCCTTCAGGGGGCCGTGGGAATTCCCCCTGAAGGGTCCAACTGCAACCGGGGATACCGGGAAGGCACCCGGGTCTCCATGGAGACTTGAGGGGAGAGAAGAAAGAGCTTTTGGGCTGGGAGCACAAAAGGGGCAAGGGGCCGAGGGGGGAGCAGCCTGCTGGGCCCCTGTCTTGCACGGGTGGGCTGAGGCTGCCAGGAATGTACCCCCTCTGCCCCCCGCCTCTGTCCTGCCAGGATCCAGACTCCACTGGGCAAGACCTATCACCAGCTGCAGGACCCCCAGCCTCATTCCATAACTAGCTCCATCCCATTCCCAGCCCCAGAGCCCCCTGGTTCCATTGCAACACCAGCCCCAGAGCCCCCCAACTCCATCCCAGCACCAAGTCCATTCCCCCTCTCCCAGCCCCATTCCGTCCTCAGCCCCTTTCACCCACCAAGCCCCCCACTGCCATCCCTGAGTGCCCATCACCCACCCAGTCCCCCACACATCTGGTCTGGCCCAAGGGGACGGTGCTCAGGGTGCACTCATCCCCCAAACCTGCTGCCGGAGAGGCAGCCCCTCCACCAGTTACCTCCCGGAGCCAGCAGGGACAACTTTCCTGGAGCATCCGACCTCGTCTCACCCGCCCTCCACACCGGGAGGCTGCAAACCAGCAGGACCAAGAGCTTCATGTAGGTGCCGGGATGGGGGGAGCAGACCCCAAGCTCCGGAGGGAGGACTGGGGAGAGCCGAGCCGCCCCACAACAGCCCTGCCTTTGGGGCGAGCTCGGTCCTGTGTGCGTGCGTGTGTCTGGTTGCAGGATTTGATCCTATTCAGAGCTCCAGACAGGCACCGCTGGGCAGCGGGAACAAAAGCTTGACGGGTGAGTAATGGCTCTGTCAAAACAGTTGCTCGCTGGAGCGAATGTGGCAGACAAGTCCCGGGGCCCCGGGCTGCAGCCCCGCCGGGATGTCCCGCAGCGGGGTCAGCCCTCCGTGCTCTGCCCCAGCCCCGTGCCCAGCCGGGTCGGGCTGTGAGGGCAGCAGGAGCAGGGGTCGCACCCACTTTGGGACACTGGGACACTGGAAGTCAAGGGGCTGGGGCAGCAAGGGGGCCCCCGCTGCCAGCCTTCCTCCTGCCCCATGAATTAAACATGCCGCGGAGGTAACACACACCGCTGCGGGCACCAAGCCAAATACCCGCTCCGGAGAGCTGGGCAGCGTGGTTACAGGGTGGGAGGGTGTGAGAGCCGGGGGCCGGCGGCGGGAGAGATGCTGAGCCCGAGGGGGCCGGGTCTCCGTGGGCACCTGGAGTCAAGCAGGGGTCCCACAGCCCAGGCTGCTCAGGAGGCTCAACAGCACCACGAGAGCTCTGCCCCAGCACAGGGCTCACAGAACCCCGGTGCTCCCCTGGCACAGGGTAGAGGTGAGGGCTTCAGACATCCCGTCTCAGGATTTTGAAATGCCACAGGCAGGAGGGACTGGGAGCATCCTGCGCACCAGCTGTCAGGGCTGAGCTGCATGTCAGCATAAACCCAGCTGTAAATGCTTCAGTTCCCTCAGCCTGAGTCTAAACCCGACTCTGGCCTGAACCCTGGCACTAATGCTAATGCCAACCCCAACTCTCATACAAACCCTCCTGCTAATATGGATCTGAACCCTTGGCACTGATCCTAACAGTAACATTAGCCCTAACAAAAAAAACCCCTAACTTTAGCCCTAACAATTACTTTAATGTTAATCAAAACATTAAACTTAATGCAAACTCCAAACCCAACACTAATGCTAACCCCAACTCTGATCCTAACCCCAACTCTAATCCTGACCCTGATCCTGGCTCTAACATTAACCCTGACGCTTATGTTAATGTGGACCATAACACCAACTGCACCCCAGCTCCAGGCTGCAGCAGCATCCTGAGTTCAGGGGTTCCCCTCTGAACTCCAGCCAGGGCTGAGCTCATCCCATCAAAGCTGTGCTGAGTCCAGTGAGTCCGCAGCATTCCTGGGCTACCCTCCCCAATAGCCCCAACCCCACCGGTGAGCAGAACCCCCCCACAGACCTCAGAGTCATCTTTTCTCCCAGGAGACTTTCCCAGGCTTAGCTAGAGCACGGGATTAGCCTCATCCTGCATCTCTGCATGCCGAGGAGCCCCAGAGCCAGGACCAGCTGTGCGGTGAGCCCGGCACCGCCGGTACCACCGTAAGTGCCGTGACAGCCACTGCCTGGCCCCGATATCTGCTGGCCCTGGGACATGAAAGGCCCCAAAGCCTCTGATGTGCAGAGAGGGAAAGGAACGGAAGGGAAGGGAAGGCAGAGGCTAGAGCCGGTGCCAAAGGGAAACTTTCCTACAGCTCGGCCTCAGGCAGGGGAAAAACCAACAAACACATGGGCACAGGCTGCAGATAAATCCCTGCGAGTGCAGGAACGCGGCTGTGAGCAGAAACCGACCGTCAGCGTCGTGCCCCTCTCGTCAGCCCCGGCGTGATGCTCCTCATCCTACTGCCAGCCTGGCTGGCCCTGGGCATCCTGCAGCTGCCCCTCAGCAGTTCCCAGGTAAGGACCTGCATTCCCTCCCCTCCAGCCCCCCAGCACGCCTCCCTCTCTGGGCTGCTCAACTCCCACCTCTCACACTCCAGCACCCCAACACCAGCCTGGAGTAGGGGGTATGGCACAGCCACAGCACCTCTGGAGTTGCCAGGGCCAGGGGCATGGTCATGGGGCTTTCCCCCTGCAGCAGTGAAATTATGTTAAATGCACTCAGGGCATGCAGCTTCATCCAAGTGCCAGAGCAGGATCGGGAAGTGGGGGCTGAGTCTGGAGCAGACACGGAGCCAGGGTCAGACCTCAACCAGGATGGGAAGGGGCTCTGTCCAGGGCAGGATATCCAAACCAACCCTAAAGACGCTGGCTGCTTGGAAGGGTCCTCCCAGGCTGTGGCAGGGTGGCAGGGGAACCCAGTGGATGATTGAGGTGTCTCCGTGATCCCCCAGGAATGCCTGAACCGGCAGCAGGCGCTCAGCGTGGTGCAGCAGATGCAGAAGCTGCTGGTGGCACAGGAGGCTGCCCACCTGCAGGGCACCCGTGGGCTCCGGCAGCAGCTTTCCATCCTCCAGAGCCACCTCCAGAGACCGGCCACCAAACACAACGGTAATCCTGGCTGGTCACCACCATGGTGACATCCCATGGGGCCAGCTCTGATCCCTGGCCCCACACAAATAGCCTGGGCACGGGACCCCCAGCTCCCTGTCAGGCTGGGGTTGGCTCCAGGCTGGCAGTGCCCATCCCCACCCATGCCTGTCTGTCCACAGAGATGTGTCCGCAGCTGGCAGCGCCCCTGAATGGACGGATGCTGGGCCGGAGCCTGCGGGTGGGCCATGAGGTTCACTTCATCTGCGACGCCGGCTTCCGGCTGGTGGGCTCGGAGACACGCGCCTGCCGGCACAACCGCACCTGGAGCGGCACCCAACCCTTCTGCAGAAGTGAAGTGGAGCAGGGTTGGGGTGCCATGAGCTCCGCCCTCCCCACGGGCCCCTCTGTCACCCTGGGCTGTGGGGTTCCATTGCTCTGCCCAGAGGCTGCAGCAATGGGCACCGGGGTTGGACAAGGATGCCCTTCTCCAGCCGATGCTCACGAGCTCCTTCTCCCTAGGTATTGATGACTGCTCCAGCAACCCGTGTGCCAACAGCGGGACCTGCGTGGATGGCAACCAGAGCTACACCTGCCTCTGCCCCCCAGGCTGGTCAGGCCCCAGCTGCCAGAGCCCCGTCTACTCCTGTAGGTGCCTGGGTTTGGGTTGTGGAGGATGGGGATTCTCATGGGGACAGTACCCTTCCCTGGCAGCCCCTGGTACCTTGGCCCCCACCATCTCCCCATGCCCCAGCAAGTGACACCTGCTGTCCCCTGCAGACTGGGTGACACTGAGCAACTCCTCCTTCAGCCGCCAGCCCCGCTGTGCCGAGGGCCGCTCGGGCTCCCGGCGCTGCAGCTGTGACACTGGCTTCCAGCTACAGCCTGGTGGCGTGTGCCAAGGTAAAAGGGGGGTGAACATGAGGAGATGATGGAGGGTGGGGAACCAAGGCTTGATGACAATGAAACCTCTGGCCATTCCTCACCTTGTCCACCCTAGATGTGGATGAATGCCAGCTCTACCAGTCCAACCCCCAGACACAGATTTGCCTCCATGACTGCCTCAACCTCCCTGGCTCCTACCGCTGCCTCTGCCCCCCTGGGTACCTTCTCCATGCTGACCGCAATGCCTGTGAGGGTAAGAACCCAGGGTGCAGGGCAGGGAGCTCCCACGGGAAGAGGGGTGCAGCGGGGACAGCCCCACTCGCCCCATGTCACCACCACAGACGTGAATGAGTGCGCTGGGAAGCAGCACAACTGCAGCCAGGGTGAGCTCTGCATCAACACCTTCGGGGGCTACCGCTGCGTGCACCCCAAGTGCCCCCCACCACGCCACAACACCAGCTATGTCAAGACCTCTGCCTTGTGAGTACCCTACTGCGCGTGGCTCAGGCTGTGTCACGCCCTGTCCCAGGGTGATGGGTCCTGTTGTGGGCTGGGGGCTGTACTGTGTCACCCAGGGGCAGCAGGGAGAGTACCAGCCAGCACTGGTAGCAAATTGCCACATGGGGTGCTAAGGTGTGCTTGGCATGCTCCCTGATGGTCTTGGGATGCTGGGCGTGCAGGTGGGAGCACCCTAATATGTGGTGGCTTTATCCAGGATCCTGGCCCCTCTCAGAGCCCCAGCCTGAGGGGAATTATGCTGATTTTCCTCTGCTGCACAGCCATGGGGAATGATGCTGATTTTCCTCACTGCCTTTCAGCAGTCCCAGCCATCCCACTCTTGAGATTAAACTGTTTTGTGCCACCCAAATAGAGGAGCATCCCCAATCCTGACTGATTCTACTTCAGGAGCCACATCTGGCCCCATCCCTGACCTTCAGCTGGGTCTGTGGCACCCACCCAGTCCCAGCCTCAGAGCTGGGTCCCTGCAAGCCATGGCATTTTCCTGGCAGAAACAGGGATGAGGCAGAGATCCGATGATGGGCACACTTGGATATGGCCGACAGCAGGGTTGGAGATGCTGCCTGTAGCATGGGCTGGGCTTGTGTGCAAGGATGAGGGCAGCTCCCTGAGAGCCAAACCACGGCCCTGAGCGGTGACACCCTTCTCTCCTGGCAGCCAGTGCGAGAGGAACCCCTGCCCCATGGACAGCCGAGCCTGCCACCTGGCTGCCAGCTCCATCTCCTTCCACTACCTGCCGCTCCAGGCCAACCGCACGGTGCCCCGAGTCCTCTTCAAGATGTCCACCACGCGCTTCGTGGGGGACAGCCTGCGCTTCGCCATCACGGGCGGACGGGGCCAGGGCGTCTTCGCCGTGCGGCGCTCGGACCGGCAGACGGGAGAGCTGCTGCTCACCAGCCCTGTAGCGGGGCCAGCCACGCTGGAGGTGGAGCTGGAGATGAGCGAGTTCTCCCACAAAGTCCTCCTGGGCAAGCACATCTTCAAGGTCACAGCCTTTGTGTCCCCATATGTGTTTTGATTCCCTTTGGAGGCAGGTGTGCAGCCATGCCAGGGCCTCTCCTGGGGAGGGATGGAGCAGGTTCAGCTCAGTGGTCCCGGTTTTTGTCCCATTGGAGATATCCCTCTGCCATAATGCTTTCTCATAGCCGTCACAGCAAAAACTGTGTCCCTATAGGAAAAACCCCATGGCTAATGGAAAGACTGGCCTGCTTGTGCCAGACCCCTTCCTCTCTTCCCTCATGGCACGCAGAGGGGAAAGACAGAGTGAGCCAACAGCATTTGGCATGCAGATTCAGCTTCTTGTATCTTGTAATATCTAATAAAAGTGGCTGTAGGAAGGGTGTCCTCCTTGCTCTATGTTTTGTCCTTCTGGGGCAAGGCTCCTGGGGATAGCTGGTGGCTGTGCTAATGGCAGGGTCACCTTGCAGAGCTTGGGGTGAGCTACCAATAGAGCTACCAAGCCCATCCAGGGTCCTGAAGTG